TTTATTTATTTATTTGACAGAGAGAGACACAGTGAGAGAGGGAACACAAGCAGGGGGAGTGGGAGAGGGAGAAGCAGGCTTCCCACTGAGCAGGGGGCCCAATGCGGGGCTCGATCCCAGGACCCTGAGATCATGACCTGAGCCAAAGGCAGATGCTTAATGACTGAGCCACCCAGGCACCCCGACTTTTTAAGTTCGTATAGTTTAATATTACCTTAATGTATCTTCACCATCTAGAGATATGTAGATATGTACCATTAGAAGATGCCAACTCTTCATTAAAACAGTGATATATTTTGGTATGTTTTCAGATTTTGCATCTTCATCAGATTTGGTTATATCCAAAGCTAATTGAAGAATGACATTGGGAGGTGATTCGTCTCTTTTTAAACAGGTTGATTATAGATATGTGAGATTGTTTTAGGTTAATATCTATAGTAAAAAGCAACAAATATTTAGATTCCTTTATTAGATGGTACAAAAATCCTTTAATATCTAATATAATTAAAATATGTATATTACAGCTAAACAGATGTCGTAGAGAAAGGCTTGCTGCTCAGATTGAACCTCAGGTTAAACTTGTATGTTGGTGGGGTTATCTCTGATGAAGGATCGTTCTATCTTTGCAAGTTTATGAAGTTTATAAATTCAGCAGAGTAATTGGCCTCCTGAGTACTAATTTATGCTAATAAATCAAAATGTCCATTTATTAGTTTATAGTAGGTATGGAACTTTATAGTGACCACATATTTATGTGTGCACTCCAACACAATCCCCTTAAAGATACTAAGGTACCTGAGAAGTGAGATTTAGGTCATTATGTGCTCACTTGGTGGATATGAAATAAGAGCAAAGGCAGTTAGATGGTCTTGAGAGATATTTTACTGAGTCTGTGACAGACTTGGAACTAGCGTCCATTCACCGGAGTACACACTGTTCCAGTGACCGAGATGCTAACGGCACTGGATATTAGAGCGTCACTGTATATATACCAGCAACGACTTGCAGAGCAATCCTTTTTCAGTACTTTTGATCAGTCATGTGCCAAAAAAAACTAGTTATTATTTTTTGAGTAAATTTTCCAAAAGTACAGGTTACCTTATATTTTTAAAATTGTTAAATGTTAGAACCAAAAGGAAACTTAAGGAACATTTCGGTTCAGTTTTTATTTTCTGAAGAGGCAACTGAGGCATGGAGCACTTAAATCCTTTGCCCAGGATCACATGTATTGGAGCTTCCTTCCTGCCAGAGGCCAATTATTTCACTCACATTCGAGGTTGTTGTATTCAGATTCCAGTTTTGAGAGGCACCCTACATTGCTTGCTCATATTTAATTAATACCCCATGTTATTAGAAGCATACTTAGAAATTCTTCAGTGGGATTATTTCCTAAGATTATGCTGAATCTTTATTTTCATCTCCAGTGGTGGTATTTTCTAATCTTTTTCAGATTTTGTGGTACATTTTATTTGATGTTTATAGCTTAGGTCAGTTGCTAGTTAAAGTTTTTCCACCCTTACCCCCAATCTCTGTGTACTTATTTTGAGCTTTTACCCCACTCCAAACAGTTATTCCTTTATTTACTTTCTTGAAAATACTTTATTCCATAGTTACAATCTGTTCAAAAGATATTTAGGCAGAAAAGATCTTATTATAGCTCATGTTTATCTCTTGATACTGTCTTCTCTAGGGTAGTTGTTATATTTACTTAATTCTGCGATCTACTTTTTAACATTTTAAGAACTTTTAAATTGGAATACACTTTAAAATTGGCTTATTTTATGTTACATTGTTCTGCCCTCCCCAAAGCAGTTTTCAAATTAATACTGTAATGGGTGGCTTCTTAAAATTAAATGATTATATAGAGATTTGTATACTAAAACTAAACAGTGACCAAATACTGACTTCGGTTTTATAGATTGTGACTTCTTTATAAATTTAGAGAAATGAAAGGAAAAGCATAATAAACAGAACAGCCCCTTTGTAGTCTCTAACTTAAAACCTTTCTTTAAAGAAAAGCTAGCACATGAGTATTTGTATTCACATATGTTTTCTTCTTTCCAGACAATATGCGCACTCATTTGTGGACGTCCGATTGTAAAGCCAGAATATTTTACTGAATTTCTTAAAGCAGTTAAGTCCAATAAACAGCCTCCACAAATTGAAAG